ATTGCCCAGCTCGGGTGGCCGAGCCGACATCAGACCAGACGGCCTCACTGAACTTGGGGTCATGTGTCCCTTTGATAATGAGGCAGAGTCTCAGAGCGTTGGAACACAAAGCTGTGCAGTGGAGTCTTTAGAACTGAAAACACTCATATGGACTCTAGAACTGAAAACAGTTAACCCAAGAAAGAATGTGGCCAGCAGGGGACAGTAGGAGCTGGTGATGACAAGCCCAGCAAGGACAATCATGGTGCACGGCCTGATTTCTGTCCTGAGAATTACGACATGAGTCTCTTCGGGAACCGACCAAGAGGTTAGGAAAGCCGGCCATGGGTGGGCTCTGGTAGAACCATGAGTTCATTCTGGAATGGGCAGGTGTGGGGGCAAGTGTCTAAAGTCCACCTTTCCTGGGCTGGGGGTCTCAGAGGCGCAGTGACCTGTGGGTCTCCCCGCAGCTGTGATGTGTGGCTGGCCCACACAGAGGGACTGTCCGTCTGTGACGTGGCCCTTTGTGATAGAAGTGGCCCCTGTCTGGCTAGGAGAAGAAACCTCTGGATCTTGCCAGAATTAAGGCTGACTCCTCCCCCTGCTTATTCTAACTTTGATTCCTTTATCCCAATGAGACAGATACTAGTTAACGACACTGTCGTTTCATTTTTCAGTAACTACAGTGCTCGGGACCACTCCGCCATTGCCTCCGGCTTCTGGCCCTCAGCTGGGACGTGGGATGCTTTGATTGTCCGAGCAGGACACAGAGTTGTGCTGTCTCGGGTTTGAAGACAAGACTCTACAGACCAGGCAGGCTGCTGTCCCAGGCTGGGAGCTGAGGTGTGCTGACCCTTTATTACCTCACCATGGAGACATCCAATCATGGCCCTTACCTTTTTCTACAAACCTTTCCCAGTGTTCTCTTATAGAAATAGAGTATACGAGCGTGCCTGTTACAGAGTGTTGCTGGAGAAAATTTACACATATTATGTGATCTTATTTGTCATGGCAATATGTAGCCTTTCTTCTGCATCAAGTACACGCAGTTCTGTGTAACTTGTTTACAAACAACAGAAAATATTCACAGTCTGTTCCTTCCATCTGCTTCCCATGGGAGGGAAGGATCATCACACAGTGATGTCAGAGGGTCCTCCAGCCCTTGGGGGGACCCTCCTGGAGTGTCCCACAACAGAAGTCCAGCCTTCAGGAAGGCGGTGACCACAGGGCCTTCTAGGGGAGCTCCCTCGGGAGATGAATCAGGAATCTAGCCTCTGGGACTTTCCAATGTGAGGCATTATCAGAGCCAGTCGGGCTCCTGATGTAGCTTTTAGGAAAGCACTTCAATGGACAATGAAATTGTTTCCATGTACGAGTAACGACACCAGGGGACGGGTCAGCTTCCTGACGTTGCGCAGGCAGTTGGCGGGACAAGGGAGCCCTACGACTAAGCGTGGGTGGTGGGGACGCTCAGAGGAGAGCGAGCGGAGGCCCTGGTGCTCAGAGGAGAAGAAGGGGAAGAAAGGAGGGAGGGAGGGAAATGGGGGGGGGAGGCAGACGGACCACAGGATGTCCTCTGATCTTGCCCTCCACGGGTAGCCCGCCTGTCCCCTCAGGCGTTCTGCTGGGAGCTGCGCCTGCCTTGCTCATGTGACGTTCCTAATGACCTGGACCCAGATGTTACTATTGGGTTTTTACGGATGAGGAAACCCAGGTGAAAGAGATGAGTGACCTGTACAAGGCCATCACAGCCACCAGAGTCCCGGGGTCTCGGAATCAGGCTCCAGCTGGGTCAACCTCTCCAAATCCACCGGGCCGTCCCGTCACAGCTACTGCCCGGGGACCTGGGGAGAGGCCTGGGAGGGTGCATTTTAAATAAGCATCCAGGGGGTGCCCACCGCCAGTGTGGGGTGGGGGCCAGTGGGCGAACTAGATACTGTCCTCCAAGCTTATTGTAAGGGACACCACCTGAGAGGCCTCTAGAGGCCATGGGAAGCCAAGGGCACAGCCTGGGATGCTTTAAAGAGCAAGACCCAGCAGTTCTCAGCAAACGCTTACAATAACCTAAAGGTCCAACAGCGAGAGGTCAGGGACATGCGTGACACTACACAGCACCAAGTGCAGAATACCAAACGGCCACTACACGTGCTTGGCCGACAGTTTCGTGGATATGGAAGCCTATGCATGACTGTTAATGAGAAAACATCCATTCACGGCACGGATATTATGATGGCTATTATAATGTGTAAATTACAATATGCAGCCTGCAGTTTACGGGGAAATGACTGAATGTCCTGTCGAGGGGGGTGGCCATCTAGAATGTGAGGACAGAGACCTACAGTGTGCTCTACCTGAAGGCAACAGAATTCTTAAATTTTAAGGAAAATGATCCCACCAAAACAGATATAGGGGCCCCCTGGTCTATAACTTATATGCAAAAAATTAACAGTGGTTGCTTCTGGGTGGTGTTGGGGATTGTTTATTTTAATTTATATTATACACAGTGTGGTGATTGCTGGGAGGGGGGAGGGTGTATAAGGGGACTCAATGGTAATGGAAAACATACAATAAGGATTACATCCAAAAAATAAAAATTACATATTTTTTAAAAAATTGTAATTCTTTTTCCACTGTGACTATGCATTTGCGATTTATGAAAGGACAGAATGAAAGAGCGAGACTCAGTTGCTGCGTCAATGGGGACCCTTCTGTTCTTGGCCCAAAAAACCCCCAAAAACGAAAGGCCTCTGCCTGGCCCTCCCTGGGCAGAGGGCACCCCGAAGCTGTGCTCTTTGGGGCTGGAGCCCTGCACTCCTGAGGGGAAAGCAGGGGCTGAACTCCGGATTCTCTGAGAAGCCATTTGCTGTGCATAGACAGCACAGAGCCACACGGTGGGAGGGGCCGGGGGGCCAGCCCCAGTGACCCCACGCCCGTCAGGAACTCTCTATCGGCCTTCGTTTCCCAGGCGTCCCTGGAGACCTCACACTCCCCGTGAGCCTTGGGGACTGGATCTGGGCCTCTCCGTTGGCTTGCTGGTTAAAAAAAAATGAAAAAAAAATGAGGAAGAGGGTCTCTGATGGGTCCCCACAGCATCAGTGGGGCCCCAAGCTCCCCTCCGCGTCTGCAGGGCCTGCGCCCCTCACACTGCACTTGGAAGCCTTTGTGGCTCCCTGCCCCCTCCACTGAGCCTCGGACGCCATGGGCTCTCTATTTGGGGGCCTGCATGTCATTCTCGGGCTGCGAAGGCGAAGGCAGCAGCGCCGGGAAGCTGGGACCGACACCTCACTGTGTGACTTCACGGCCCTGGGGCCTTTGCTACGTCACCTCGCCTTCCGGGGTGCACTTTCTGCGTCAGTAAATAGAGGTAAAAATATCCGCCTGATGGGGCTGAGGCCCAGGTAGGGGTGGCCAGCCATCACAGGCGGAGGAAGCCCGGGGCGGTTCTTGGAGCTGGGGTGACCTGCCCTCCCCGTGGTCACGGGCCAGCTGCGCTGCGATCAGGAGAGGCCGGGAGGTGGGAAGCTGTGTGCTGCATGCGCTGCGAGACCGAGCTCACCCCATGGCTGCAGCGGGGCTGCCGCCCAGGCCGGGGCCATGCAAGGTCCTGACGGGCCCGTGGACCTACAGCCAAAGCTCGGATTCGGCTGGTGCCTAGCTCTGCAAACTTGGAAAAGTCAATTAGCCTTTGGGAGCCTTTCCCCTCATCTCGTAGAGTGGGGAGGATACCGGTCTCATGAGGTGGTTGCGAGGGTCCCCTAGGCTGCATGGGAAACGCTGGTACAGTGTACGGGCCTGGTTTCTTGTTCTGGTTGCTGCTGTTGCTGCCAAAGTGGGCTCAGCGCACCTAGACTCCCAGCACCCAGGGACCCTGGCAGCCCCTCCCTTCCCCATCCCCCAAGAGGCCTCTGGACCCTGAGTTTGCCCAGACCGTATTCTTGGGCTCTGCTAAATGAGAATGGATGCCGAAGGCTTTTGGGAGCCGCAGGACAGAGGGCTGACGCTTTGGTTGGCAGCCGCTGAATGGGCAGCTTTATTTCCAGCCTGTGGATACGGACAATCCAGAAGAACCATCGGGGAGCCGTTCAGAGGGTTTCAGAAGCAGTTTTTCCCCTCAATAAATTTCAAATTAGTATACTTGAAAAATCACTGGGGCTCTGCAGTCTAAATAAAAGTCTTGGTTTAACTGAGTCACATTCCGTTTTTTAAAAAATAAAATTGAAAAAACTGTGTAGGCAAAGGAACGAGACTGAAGTTTTAAAATACCAAGTGGTTAAAAGAAAAAAAAGGACACCGATACCTTTTTTTTCCATTGCACCTTTATTGTTTACTGTTCACTGTTCAGAATTTTCATACAGGCTTTCTAGAAGCACTCAGAACTTGTCAGATAGCCCCTCCCCCTAGCATTCCATTTCGTTTCTAACCAGCCGCCTCTGGTCTCTCCTCCTTGCTTGTGTGATATTCTGCCCGTGGCTAAGGGGTTCCCAGGGTTCTTTATTTTTATGGGGAAGGGGAGGGGAAGAGAGGCGTGTGGAGCTGGCCTTCAGCACAGCCATCGGGTGTGTGTCCTGCGACGTGGGCCCTTTCCTGTGATGGCCCCACGTCTCCACTTCCTCTCTTCCCAGGAGCCTCTAGGCCCTCAGGGGCCAAGGAATCAGGCCGACCAAGGTTTGAGTCCCGACTCACTACTTGGAGCCACGCGATCCCCACAAAGTTTCCTGACCTCTCTGAGGCCTCCTTTCTTCTCCTACGATGCGGGGACGGGACTTCCTCTCTCACAGGTCACTGTGAGAATTCAACGACTTGAGGGATATAAAGGGCCCGGCACACAGCCTGCCCTAAATGACACATCGACTTCCTTCCTTCTGGTGGGGAAGACACCTGATGAATGGCTGTCAGAGCCAGGTGCTCAGGGGCGTCTGCTTTATAAAAGAACCTAGTCCCTTGTAAGAGCCCAAGAAAGGAATCTCTAATGGTGGAATTTCAGATGCCACCTGTGCATAGGGACAGATCTGGTGGCAGAAATCTCTGGGTATCCCTCGAGTCCAACTAGACAGGTTGCTGCTGCTTTTGCCCACGGGCAAGGCTGGCGCTGGCAGAAGGCATTCTGACCCTTTCGTTAAGACCACGCTGCTGCAGCCAGGCAGGGGCCAGGAGAACGGGGTAAATTCATATGTATTTAACCATCCCTGCCAAAGAGAAAGTAACTTAATGTGGATGTAAACCAGGGGCTTTAAGAAGCACAGCAATCCCTTAGGGCGACTGCTATGTCCCTTCTCATGCCCTTGAAGAGTCACCTGTCCCAGGGGTGTCCTCACGGCCAAAGTGAGCTCTCGCAGCGGAAAGTCCATGTCACTTACACCCTGCCTACTCTGGAGGGGATCCCAGGTGCCTGGTAAAGGAAGGGACTGTGCACCTAACACTGAGCTTTTCCCCTCGTTCTGCCCATCTCCCACGGACGTGGTCATGAAAACCAAAGTCTGATCTACGCATGGTCACAAGAGTGAAATGAGAATGCCGTTAATAAGCTGACCGGCCAGCGCAGCTGCACTCTTCCTCAGCGGTAGTCTTCCACAATTTTCTAAGCTGACCTACCACTCAGCCTTTCTTCATGCATAATTCTCAGTAAGGATACAGTGCACCTAAGGCCCACATGCCCACGATCACTTTAAATCTCTCATAGAACAACAAGAAGCTGCTCCACGGACAATCTTACAACATGCACCAACCAAGACCAGGGCTGGTATTATGGGAAAATATCCTCCAGACCAGACAGAGAAAGACAGAGAAGGTAGAAGGTTCAAGATAAGAGAAATAGGACTAGAATGACTGCACAACAGAACATCTACGCTCTAGGGGGCAAAGCAGATAAAACGAAAGAAAGCTCGAGGATTCCAGGAGCGCCTCTCCAAATATTTGGTTCATGCTAAAAAATAGAGCACATTTATTAAAAATATATATTTATAAACCTTGATATGAACAGACACACACGTCAAGCCAATGAAAAAAAAAAGAAAAATAAGTCATCTCCCCTGTATCAAATAGACACTTTGGATGAATGGGATGTCTGTCCACTGTCCCTGTGATCTCAGCTACTCAACAGCTCATCGAGTGAAGAGGAAACGAATGTCCCGGGAGACACACCAACGAGCTGCATCCGTCCACCCTGCTCCTCTTTTTGAATTCGTGATTATCTGTCAGCGATCTGGGGTAATGAGTTTCTGTACCCATCTGCTCACCGACGGCATCGAAGGCTGGTCCTCCAAGCGTTCCTCTGGGCCCCCTGCCAAAGACGTTGAGTTCCTTGGTGTGTGAATGAGTTTTGTTGGATTCATTGTGCTTTAGTGTCTGCTCCTCGCAGCAGGATCGGTTTAGTTTTGTGACCTTTTATAAAGTTCGAAGGTGCATTTGATCCAGTGGTGTGTGTAGGTCAAGCCTGCTTGTTGGCGCAACGTCCGGTCATTGATTGGTTGACACACAGGACTCCTGTCTTCTGGCCATCCCGAGGCATCTAAGGAGCCTCTGGGCCAATCACAGAGTGGTGTATATGTATACAAATATGATGACGATCAGGTTCAGGATGGTCCCAATAATCCCCAGCATCGCCAAGACACTCTCTTCTTTACTCTCTTTCTCTTGGCCTCCTCTGTCTTCATCATTTCCACTCGTGATTACCATCTTGGTTGCAAATGTCTTTATCTTCCTCCCTAGGCTAACCTGTAATTAAAAAGAGGCAGCATAAAAATGATCGTTTATAAGCAGCCACTCCAGAGTCAGGCAGATCTGGCAGGGTGGTGTTTTCATGCCCAGGGAGGAGGTCACGGGTGGGAGGGAAAAACTACCCATGGATCCAATCTTGGGACACCTTGCTCCTGGTTGTGGAGAAACAGCAGAGCGTGGCTTATCAATTTCAAGGATGAACGATCCTGACTATGGCGTAAAAAGATTAGCCCAGGAATCGAGCCTGGGCACCACCCACTCTATTGAGCTTGTTTATGCCTTTTCCTTGAAGCGGAAATGGAGACAGCTGCATGGCAGTCAGACTAAAACCATGCGTGCTCTCCCACGGCAGCGGGGAGTTTACATGCAGCATGGACTGGCTTACACTCGAGCAATGTGCTGCCCTGCATGTGCACGAAGCGTGTAAGAAAGCATCACAGGGGCACCAGTCCTGACCATCGGCGGTAACACGGGGTAGGGCTGGATGGGACCCACACAAGGCCATTTATGGAGACCAGACAGGGCCATAAGGGCAGAGGAGAGCACCACAGATTGGCATATGTTGGTACAATCATTCTAGCAAGCTCCTTGGCAGTGCCTAGAAAAATGAAGCGCATGCTCTACAACTGGGCTGGGCACCTGCTCTCCTAGGCGTATATCCTAGAGAAAGCCCACACCGTGTACCTGGAGACATGGGCAGGAATGCTTCTACAAGCACTGTTTGTGATGGCAGAGGGCTGGAAGCTACCCAAGAGGAGGAGAGATAGACACGTGGTGGTCTGCACAACGAACACGCCCAACGATGGAATATAATGCAGCAGTGAAATGCATGGACTACTTAACTGGGAAGGAGCAGCCGCTGTGCTTCCAGCCTGAGGCCAGGATGCTACTATGACTGCTCTTGTCTATGTATGTCTGCCGGCAAACATACATATGCATTCCCCGCCTCCCCCAAGTTTTACAGGATTTTTTTTAACATACAGTGAAGTTGAAAAAGTTTTACAGTGAGAACCCATACACTCACCATCTAAATTCCACAATTAACATGCTAACTATATTTTTTTTCCTTATTAGATCTCTGTCTATCTTCTGTCTTGGGTGCATTTCAAAGTAAACTGCAAATATTATTACTCTTTCTTAAATACTGCAGCATGCACATATTAACTAGAGTTCTACACTGGTTTGCAGTTTTTTTTCTTTTGAAGTAAAATTTATATGGGTGCAATTTCCCATAGGCTACATACCCCCAGGAGAGGAATTACCAATGTGTAGATTGTGTATGTGTTCAGCTTTCGTAGATATTGCTAAACGGTTTTGCAAATGGTTGTATCTGCTTCCTTGTTTGTGCGTGCTAGATTGGCGCCCTCTTTTATTTTGGTGGCTCCATGGCTCAGTGTTCACAGAAAGTCTCAAAGAAGAGTAAATGCTTCAGAAATCCACTCCCCTCTCTGCTCTGGACAGATGCTATCTCTTTAATGAGTCTCCTGTTTCTTGTTTTCTTTCCTTAGCTAGACTCGGAGCCCGGAGAGGGCCAGCTTTTGAATCTCACTTCCGATCCAAGCTCAGTATTGGGCATGGACCAGTTGCTCGGGGAAGGTGTGCTGAAGAACGAGTGGACTGCGGAGTGATCTGGCATCTCCCTGGCGCCGCAGGGCCAGGAATAGATCGCTGAGGTCCGTCTAAAGAGACGCAATTAGTGCTGCCCTTAAAACACCCAAGACCATCATGGCAGTCACTCAAGCAAAACAAAGCGCCTGTCATGGAGGCTGCTTGGTTTCAAGGTTTAATTAGCCTCTTTCCTGCGTTAACCTGAGAGAGCTCTGAGTCAGGAGGGAGGGGAAGGGAATAAGCCCAATTCTCTGGACTCACAAGCCAGCTGCATTCCAAAAGTTTGTTTCCAAGATGCCTGAGTCAACTTGAATTTCCCCACAGAAACCATGTTGGCAGCTGAATTGCAAAGGAGCTACTGAGGGCTTCTTGGTGAAAGGTGCAGTTGGAACATTGCTGTCTTTGGAAAAAGAGGTCTGGCCAGGGTGTGGAGGATGGAGAGTGGGGAGGAGAAGGAAAGAGGCTGGGGGGTCAGCATGGAAACCAGATCAGTAACAGAAACAGAGAGGAAAACAGAATCAAAATAAGACAAAACAGCAGAGCCCAGGCAGGCAATGGTGGACGTAAAGCCTTCTGCACAGGTCTGTCCCATCCATTCATTCACTCGCTTGCTCACTCGTTCACTAATTTCTCCAGCCAGGGGCTGCCTGGGGAGGGACTGCTAATGGCGAAGGTGTTTCTCTAGGGGCGGCAAAAATGTTCTAAACTTACATTTGGGTAATGGTTGCACAACTCCATGAGTATACTAAAACTTTAAATAAGTGAATTTGTGTTTTGTAGAGTGTATAACAATAAAGATATTTACTGAAAAAAGGTAGCCTTTGCAATAGTTTCTGAAATATAAAGTGAAATAAATCTAACAAAGCTGATCAAAACCTTTTATAAAGAATTTCAGAAAACTTTACCAACAGGCCTAAAAGTAGACCTTTGTAGAAAGGGAGATATGCCATATTCATGGAGTGCAAGCTCTAGTACCTTAAAAACATCAGTCCTTCCTAAAGTGACATATAGATTCACTGCCATACAGTCACAATTCCTATAGGCCGATTCTAAAATGGTCACCAGGGGGTCAAAAATACAGTGACAGGGGTGGGGACTAGACTTGGGATACTGAGCATACACTGCAAAATACAGATGATGTATTACAAAGTCATGCATCTGAAACGTATGTAATGTTATTAACCAATGTAACCTCATTATATTGAATAAAAAATAAAAATGAAGGTAAAAATAAAATGTATATCAAAGTGCAAAGGAATAATAATAGCCAAGATATTTACTAAATAAGAACAAGGTAGGGGACTTGCTTTTAAGACATTGAGAATTATTATTCGGCTTTAGTAATAAAACCTTAGACAACTAGCAAAAGAAAGAAACAAAGCTAAACATGCACAGACACTGATGGCCAATGGTGGGGAGGATAGGTCTTTGGAGAAATGGTGCTGGAATAACTGGGTCCACATGAAAAATAAATAAAACCCAACCAGTTTTTCATCAATTCCAGATGGACCATAGACAACTGTGAAAAGGAAAATGTAAGAATTTTTAGAAGATAATATAAATGAACATTTTAATAACATTGGGGTAGAGGGTATCTTAATAAGACATAAAAGCTCAAACTATAAGGGAAATATTAATAACATCAATATCATTAAATTATGCCTCTTTTTATCCAAAAATATTTTAACAGGGGTGTGTGTATGTGTGTGTGTACACACACAATACATATATACTATATATATGTATATATACAGATATATATACATATAGATATAGGTATAGACATACAGATACACACACACAATCATACAATCATGTTAGTATCAAGTCAATCAGAAAATAAACTGCCAGTAGAAAACCAGACAAAAACTATATCCATGAACCTCTCAAAGGAGTAAATAACCACAAAGAAGGTAAACCTCAGTAATCAGAGAAAAACATAATGTCTGTCAGACTGGCAAGCCCTAAAAAATTCTACAAAACCACCAAACACTGAAAAAGCTTGTGAAGCAACAGGGATTCACGCATCAAATTGAGAGACCACAACTTGGTTACCATCACTTTGGGAAAGAGGATGACATCACCTTGCAAAGCTGAACCTACTCAGACCCTGGTGACCCGCCATCCCCCGCTGGTTACAAGCCCTAAATATCCCTGCACCTACAAACCGGGGTGCACAGCCAAGAATGTTCACAGACTGCAGTATCAATCAGCATGAGCAACATGCTGCAAACAACAAAGGTCCACCCGCAGTAGCCTGGATCGACTGTCGTATATTCAGACACCGGAATTGCAGACAGTGGTGAAAAGATTGGAATCTACAACAAGCACGAATAAATCATTAATGCAATGTCAAGTGAAAAAGCATCTGGCAGAAGAATGCGCACAGGATGTTTCCATTTACATGAAGTTCAGAAACACAAAAACCTATGTTGTTCAGAGATATAAATGTGATACAATGATGAAGAAAAGCAAGAGGATAATAAACCCGAAAGCCAGGGAGGCGATGACTCCTGAGTGGAGAGGGAGCGTGGAGGAGGTCCGGCAGGAGCGCTCAGGGAAGCCCTGCAGCACCAACAGTATTTCTCAGGCTGGGTCGTGGGTCCGTGGGTGCTTGTTCTCGATACGTTGTCTAAATAGGCTTCTGTTATCTGTCTGGTAATTAATTAAGCAATTAATGACTTAACCATTATTACAACGGGGAGTTTGGGTGTCCCAGCGCCCCTGCCCTTCTTTTGGTGTCAGTGTCTTGTTTTCCTCTGAAAATTACCCTGCCCCGTGGATGCTGTCAATCAAGGCGCCAAGGCGGTGGGCCTGCATCCCGGCTCAGGCCATCAGATGCTCTCTCTGGAGCTCAGTCTTGGGGGTGATGGGAAGTAACCGCTGATGTGCACTGGCCATGGTGCTGAAGTGAGATTAGCTGCCGCCACTCGGATTTCTGCCTTTCTTACAGTTCAAGTCACCCTTTCCTCCTACCCCAGAGACTACCTCATGTCCCTGAAAAAATAGTGTGTTTTGCGTAAGGCGATCAGAACCTATTTCTTATCCATTGTCGGCTCCTCACAAGTAAAGAACCTTTACTCGAACAGAAGGGGTATTCAAGATTCTTTTGTTTCCTCATGTGACCTCTGAATCCCTCCTCCAGCCTCTCGAGTACCTCCCGTCACTCTGCAACTTCCCGCCTGTCAGGAGAGCTTATTTACCGGCCCGCAGCTGAGGCAGGAAAAGTCTTCTTTGCTTTAAGACAAACTACCCTCGCTATGGCTTGCACCCACTTCTGTAACTAGGAACTAAACACCCCCTCTTCACCTTCTGTAAGGCAACACCTCCCTTGTTGAGAAACTGATATTCAGTGGGAAGACGTGGCAACGCTGGCCTCTAGT